CTCTTCTGACTGAGTTAACAGACTGAAAATGAGGAAAATGCATTGAATGTTGTTTCTGACTTTCATCAAGACATTTTCATTCGTCACTAATTGTATTTTTATAAATAAGATTAGGAAATATGGTCATGGAAATATAGAGAGGTGGATTCCTATTGGATTCAATTACAAGTCCCCAGTGAAACTGTTACCTGGGAGAGAATTTTTATGATGAGCTACAAAAGTCTTCCCTAAATTCTTGGTCTGCTTTAATTTTATTCATTAATAAAATGCACAATTATATAGAAAATATATTTATCAAATATTAAAAATGACCCATAATTAGTTTAAGTTGTATTAATATTTTGAAGTTACTTATTCAACAAATACAGCAGACATGAGTACCTTCCATGGGCCAGACACGCTGCTAGGTACTAGGGCAAAATTTAAGAATAAGACATTGAGGAGCTTTCAGTATCAGAGCTTTAAAATACTTCATCAGACCAGAAATACAAGCTTAAGGTATGTCCTAGTAGAGTGACTGGAACATGCTATGGAGCCAAATTAATATTTTTAGATTAACGAATCAATCAGTGAATCAACTAGAGGTAAAAGTCAATATTTAGCTAAAGCTGCCACCAAAATTAAATATTACCATCAGAGAATGAACTGCTTGGAGAAAAGATTAAATAAGAAATATTGGCCAGGTGCAGTGGCTCACGCCTGTAATCCTAGCCCTCTGGGAAGCTGAGGTGGGTGGATAGTTTGAGCTCAGGAGGGTGGATAGTTCAAGACCAGCCTGAGCAAGAACAAGACCCCATCTCTACTAAAAAAAATAGAAAGAAATTAGCTGGACATCTAAAAATACATAGAGAAAAAAATTAGCCGGGCATGGTGGCTCATGCCTGTTGTCCCAGCTACTTGGAGGCTGAGACAGAAGGATCGCTTGAGCCCAGGAGTTTGAGGTTGCTGTGAGCTAGGCTGACGCCACGGCACTCTAGCCCGGGCAACAGAATGAGACTTTGTCTCAAAAAAAAAAAAAAGAAGAAATATTATCCAAAAGTAATGATTATAATAATTTCATATTTAAAATGTAATAGATTTTTAAAGCTTGACCTTATAGTTAGGAGCAATGATTCCTCTGCCTGTCAGCTGCAAGATTGCTCCTGTGGCCACTATAGTGCACATTTGTGATACTAAATAGAGGCTCACTTCCTATGGAAGAGCAAGAAAAAATGAAGTAAAATTATCCTTCCCTAGAAGTTTCTTTCTTCATATTCTACCATTGTGAATGGATTGATAATGACATCATGGACATTGTTGTACATGACTCTGGAGAGTTTTCCCCTCATGTAATTTTAATGCAGCAGAATTAACATTCTGCTTTTAATTTGTCCCCATACGATGTGAAAAATTCCCCCAATAATACCTTACTTCATAATTTCTGACTTAAGTGAATTTCAAATTAGAAATAACTTTTTTGGGTAATTTGGCTTAACATTATAAATGATAGTATGACAAATAATTCTATTAAAAATTGTGATATAATTTAATATCTGTTATTCTTTGTATTCTTATTTATGTTTCACAAATATCATTTAGCACAGAAAGGTAATTATATTCATCCTAAAGTTATCTAATGCACATTCAATCTTTTTGTATTGTCTGTCAATCTCTTTTCATATTTATTAAATTATTTGAAAGTGTTTAACTGTTTTTGCATTTAAATTAACTGCTTCCACAATACTTATTAAATATTGTAATTTTATTCCATTATCAAAATAAATTTATTCCTCAATTGGTTAATAGAATTTCAACATATTAAAGACTTGACATTTTTATTCCAAATTATATCTAAAATGTTTATCTGTATTCAAAAGTGAGCATCCAGAAGTTAGCAATAAATCTCATCGGCATGCCTTGTTTGAATTACTCACTTTGCTGATGAGCTGTGATAGTAACTTATGTGATCACAATTGGTTAATCATGCACAATTTCAGGGATTCAGATAATATGTTAAAGTAGGCATTTAGCAAGTTGGCCTTCCAAAGGCTGAAGCCAAAGCTAAATATATAATTTGGATTGAATACCAAGGCTGATGTCAAACTTAACGTATCTTGAAAGGGCTGTTTCTAAAGACTTCCTCTTTGAACATTCACTGCACAATATACAAAGGGTGAAAGAACAAAAGAACACACTTTCTAATGGGCAACATAACATTGGGAGCTGTAAATTCCTTTAGTAGTCAGAGAGACATGTCCACTTGCCCTCGTGGAATCCTCCAGACTAAGAAAATAATCACAAAAATAAATATATCATTAAAAACTGCAATATATTCCAGGAAGGAAAATACAAGGTGCTTTGACACTAGACTGAGGAAAGTAATTTAAATAAGGAGTCAAGGAAAGCCTTTTCGAAAAAATGGCATTTAAGCTGAAAATAAAAGGATATGTGGGGTTTAGTCAAGTGAAGTAAAGTGAAGTACGGGAGAAAGGGTGTTCCAGAGGAAAGGGGAGGCTGACAGAGAACCAGTGATGCTGATGAGTCAGGAAAAGAGTTTCAGAAGAAACTTCTGGAGGGGTTCTTAGAGGCCAGATCTTTTAAGCTTTGACAATGCATGTTAATAATTTTTATTTTCATCCAGATACAATGGGAAGTATTTGAAGGGTTGCAAATAGAAGGTTTTCATTTTTTAAATATCGTTCAGGCTGCTCAGTGGAGAAAGGATTGGAGAGAAGAATGAAATCAACGAGTTATGAGTATTTTAAGTAATTCCTCTTAGAAATGAACTTTATCTATCTTTACCCATGCTATTAGAATTTTCTTATTTTTCCAGATTGAAGAACTTACCATTCTCATTTACCAAACTTAAAGAGCTTGCAGCTTTATGGCTTTCTGACAATCAGGTAAGAACTTTTATTACCTGATTTACTTTGTTTATTAAAATGAACTGTAATTGAAACTCTGAATTACTAACTTATTCCTAATAGATAACTTTGACAATCACTACGAAATGTAGGTTCTTTATTCTCTAGAGGAGAGATTTTTGTAGAGATAGCAATTCAGACATTGCTATAGACAAAACAGTACTATAATCCCTGTCTTCCTTAAATATATCTATTTAACATCTACTTCACTCTCAGAGATCTAATACACAAAATGATTATTTTATAGCCTTTTAGCTCTAGGTGGTACACATATGTCCTTAGAGGATGTAATTTAATTATGTCTCTGAAGGTAAAGAAAAAGAAACCATTACCACAATCCCCACAAGAGGGAATTATCCTCTGTTCCTTTTTTTTCTCATGCTTTTAATTATAATCAACTTAATTCAAAAGCTTTATTCAAGAAATTTGCAGGTATCCTTTGGCAACTACTAGTATTTTCTGTGAAATTTTTTTGATATTATTCTTTATACTATGGAAAATAGATTATAACTGAATTAGTAATTGAGTGTTAATGAGTAATTTTATTAACTAGAAAATAACAAGAAACAATTGAAGACATCTGATTTGCCACCAGAAGAACTGGTGATAGACAATTTTGGTGTAGTTTATTAGTCCTCTTTTTTCATGTGACCCTAAAATTTTGAAGCACCTATTCCGAAATATGAATGGCCAAATGAAAACAATCCATCTTGAATTCAGTTTATCATTATTTTCTAAGCATAAAAGTAGCATTATCAGTAAATGAATTGTTCATACTTCTAGCTGTTGGTCTACTGTTGTGAAAAATTAAAAATAACCTCTACAAAATACAAAATGTAAATGTAAGAATAATGTTTGCATTTCTGCAGTCAATAGAGTCTTTGCTTCCATCTACTGAATAAAAAATTAGATTTTCATTCAAATTCAAATCTTATCAATAAACTATAGATTGTTCAAGGCATTAATACATCGTTATAAATAAATCATTTCTGGAATTAATATGAACTATGCTAATGGAACAGTCTATTCTATAGTCTTGCATTATGAAAAAACACCCCCTAATATCATGATTTATTATTCTTGTGGGAGAATGAACAGAACAGTGACTGCACCATTTAACTTATGTTTGGAACACTAATTTAATGTATTTCTGACTGAGTTTCATGAGACAAACTGGTATCCCAAATCCCCTTTGTGCTTTACTCCTATTAATAAATGTCATGAAATAAGTATATTTTAGTATGTTAAATAATATGATCATTTCCAATATATTTCTGGCATATAATATCAGAGTTCTAAAAAAACTTTCAAAAATAGTATTTCCGAAATCAAATTGATAAAAGAGAATGAAATTGACCATAAGTAAATATATTGTAACATATCAGATACAAGTACAGTTGCTTATCTGAAATATGGATCCCATCTTTGATTATAAAAATATCTCTTAGAAGGCTGGGCACAGAGGCTCACACCTGTAATCCCAGCACTTTGGTAGGCTGAGGCAGGAGGATCACTCGAGGCCAGGAGTTAAAGATCAGCCTGAGCACCGTAGCAAAACCCAGTCTCTACAAAAAATACAAAGCAGCCAGCATGCTGGCGCACACCTGTATCCAAGCTACTCAGGAGGCTGAGGTAGGAGGATGGCTTGAGCCTGGGAGTTTGAGATTGCAGTGAGCTGTGATGACACCACTGTACTCTAGTACAGACAGCAGAGAGAGACCTTGTCTCAAAAATATATATATATATGTATGTATATATATATATATATACGAAATAAATGAATACTTTTTTAGCTTAATTAAATTCATGGATGATCTTATGTAGCACGAATTTAATAGTGAATTCCATTTGTCTTTCTAGGGCAACAGTCCATGAAAATGAATAGGCACATAGTACCATATCAAAAGCTTACTTAGTTGAAACAATTTAACACATTTTGGTCTCTTCAGGATTAAAACTGACGTTGTTCAGTTGAATAGGTTTTGGTAAGTTTTGTAGAAGAGTATACTGAAGAAGAAGAAAACTTCATTATGAAAATCTTAGAATTTGAAAATATTCCTCAGCAATAGTTTTATTTCATATTATACTTTTATTTATTTCTTTTTTTTTTCACTTGTCTTTCAATTGTTCATTCATCTGTGTGAGGCCAGACTATTGACTGTTATCTTATATAAAATAAATATTCTTCATATCTGCAATGTTATTAATCTAATTTATATGTTCTTTGTTTCCAGTCCAAAGCCCTTATCCCTTTACAAACTGAAGCCCATCCAGAAACAAAGCAAAGAGTGTTGACTAACTACATGTTTCCCCAGCAACCTCGTGGTGATGAAGGTAAATTGTCAGAAGAAATTTCTTCTCTACTTCTAATGACTATGGATAGAAAAGACTAATTTTATTCTGATCTCTGGCCAGGAGTACTAGCTCCTGGGCAAGCCTGTAAAGATAATTACGTGATATACAAATATCATTTGAGGATTTACTCTAAGCATGAGTCTTATTTTCTATGTTGTAATATTTCAAGTAAGATTCAAAAACAAAACTCTTCCTCTTTGTATCTCTTATGAAAATAATGTTGCCCTTTAGGAGCAACTCCTTCTCTTTGTGGACTGCAAGACACAGGACTAGTTAACCATGTGTGGTACCCAGCTAACTGAAGCAAGCTAAGCACAGTCAGATCCAAGGAAGATTCAATGAGCTGCTTTATTTTCTGTATTCACTTATTGCATGAACACAATTTAAACATTTAGTCCAGTGACTTCAGGACTCAAATTATAGTTGACTCATGTTCCGAATCAACTATAAAAAGATGACTTGCAAATAATGACCATTCTTTTTTTTTTCAAGCTGAGTTTCCCTAAACTATTTCAGCAACTATGATAGGAATAGTTTTTTAGAAAAACTAAAACCTTTTTGAATAATTAAATGTTCTAACCCATGATCACATTATTCATAAAAATTTTAAAAGAAGTTTGTCCTTTACTATTAATATTTGAAACTTGGAAAAGGCTCCTTAGCTCAAGCCAGCACTGGTCGACATGCACATTTTCTACAGTTGTAGAGTAACAGTAATTCTTAGAAGAGTAAACTCACTTTTATCCAGCCATGGATAAAATCTGCAACATATGCTTGAATGAGAACAACTTGTGAAAGAAACCATTTTCTTATGTATTTTTTATTTTCGAGGATAATTATAATAAATGGGTTTAGTCTTTGACTTCCAAATATAAGTGAACCATTTAGAGTTATTTTAGAATATTTTTTTAAAATTTTGACTTACGGAAGTAGAAAAAGGAAAAAATCATTTTGATATGTATTTTTCAGACCTTAATAAAGTTGATCTCTTGAACTTATGAAAGAAAAACCATGTTTACATATTATATAAGAAAAGTCTTAAGTAAAGATTATGTTTTATTCATGTAGCTTTACTTACATCTTCATTTTAGTAACCCAAGGTTATCAAAATATCTAATTTTAAAAGGATGTGGGGAAAACTGAAAAGTATTTCATATTCACTGGTCATTTCTGAGAGCTAGACTCACAGATTAAATCCATAATTTCTCCCAGGGTGTGAGGTAGGTTTAGTTAGGTAAGGTACGATGTTAAGGAATTAGCCAGGGTGGGATTTTTTTTCCCTTTGAGGAAAGAAAAGTTGGTAATTGAAAAGTTTTCTTGAACTTTAAGCAAGTCACCCTTTGGTTTTCCAGGCAGGAGTGTAATAAATTTTCAGAATCCCTTCAACAAACAAAGAAATATATGACAAAGGCCTCCTTTGTTAAAGAATTTAGCCTAAACTATGTACTTTTATTGCATTTTAAAGTGATCTTTGCAATAATAGTGCAAAGAAGATATTATCATTAGCCAACATTTTCATGTAAATTAAGGATTTATAAGACATTTTCCCTGTTAATTTGAGACACATTTAAACTAATTGAAACCTTAATGTTAAAGACTAAATTTTCCTCGTTCTCTACCATAAAAACAAGCTTCTCTCCTTCATTGCCTCCCCCACACACATACCCCAAAAAGTTGCAATCTTAGACACTTTACTGCAAAATCAATGTTATGCAGTGAGCTATGATTGTGCCACTGCACTCCAGCCTGGGTGATAGAGCAAGACCCTGTCTAGAAGGAATGAAAAAGGAAAAGAGAAGAGAAAGATAGGAAGGAAGGGAGGCAGGAAGGGAGGAGGGAGGGACTCATGCCTGTAATCCTGGCACTTTGGGAGGCTGAGGTGAGGAGGATCACTTGATGTCGGGAATTTGAGATCAGCCTGAGCAAGAGTGAGACCCCATCTCTACAAAAAATATAAAAATTAGCCAGGCATAGTGGCATGCACCTGTAGTCTCAACTACTCAGGAGGCTGAGGCAGGAGGATTGCTTGAGCCCAGGAGTTTGAGGCTGCAGTGAGCCAAGATGATGCCACTGTACTCTAGCTGGGGCAACAGAACCAGGGCAACAGAGTGAGACCCTGTCTAAAAAAAAGAGAAAAAGAAATCCTGATAGGGTTTTGTGGTTACAAATATAGGCTCTATTCAGACATGGAATAGAATTCTGCCATTAGCCACAGAGAAGCTGCATAACTTTAAGCAAGTCTCTTAAAACTCAGTTACGCTTTGCTCATTAATAAAATAAGCATGATATTAATAGTACCATTATGCTGTTATGAGGTTTCAAAGAGATAATGCTTTAAAATGCTTAGTCCAGCTCTATTATTATTGTTATCCTATGAAGAACCCATTCCCTACACTAGAAAATTTCCCGATCCCAATATGTAATTTATGTATACTTAGGAAAGCTGAATTTGAGTTAAGATGTCAAAAGACAATGTAATAAATACCAAGAGAATTTTATTCCTTCTTTCCTCTTTCCTTTTTTCTTCTTCTCTTCTTTCTTCTTTCCTTTCTCATTCTTTGCTTCTTTCTTTCTTTTTCTTATTTTTGTATTTTTTGTACTATTTATCATCATTTTTTGCAGTGTATTAAATTCTAATAGTAACACTCTATGTAAAAAAATCAATAATACCTTTGGAATTTACTGTAGATTTCCAGTCAGACAGTGACAGCTTTAATCCTACACTGTGGGAAGAGCAGAGACAACAACGCATGACTGTTGCCTTTGAATTTGAAGACAAAAAAGAAGATGATGAAAATGCTGGGAAAGTTAAGGTGAACCTTTTAGTTTTTGTTTCTTTCTTCTTCATATTCTTTTTGTTTGTCCGTTGTTGTTATTCAAATAGATTTGGGAACAAGTGACCTCTGTTAGAAGGTCAAAAACATCTTCCAGTCTCGTGGTGGTACTTTTCATTACAGCAGCCTGGTAGTTCTAGAAGCATTGGTGTGCTTTGGAATGAGACTAATGTTCCAAATCTGAATGAGGAAATTTGATAAGCCACCCCATCCTACAGAATGAGAGAGATTCAAGCTGAGAGGAAGTCAAAAAAAAAAAAAATCTGGATGATGGACTTCCCCTAAGCACCTTATTCCATCTTTGGCACACTGCAATAGTTTTCTTTTAATCACTGAGCAAGGCATCGTGCAGGCTGTATAAGTCCAAAATACACATTTATGGAAGGGTCAATTGATTAATATATTACATCAGCATTAAAATTGCTGAAAGGTTCTGTGTCCCTGGGATATTTGAGAAGAATTTATGCGCTTCCTTAAATGTAAGGAAAAATTTTAAAGGAGATGAGTGCCTAATGGCAGGTGATGTTCCTTAGGGAAAATAATTTAAATATTTTTTACTTCAAAGCATATTTTTATATCATTTTTATAGCTTTAGGGTGTACAAATGCAATTTTGTTACATGGATATATTGTGCAGTGGTGAAGTCTGAGCTTTTGATGGACCTGCAAAGTGTATATCGTACTCAATAGGTGATTTTTCATCCCTCATCTACCCTCCCAGCATCCCACTTTTTGGAGTCTCCAATGTCTATTATTCCACTCTGTATAGCCATGCATACCCATGGTTTAGCTTCCACTTATACATAAGAATATCTAATCATATTTTTAAAAATCTTTTATTGGGACTAATTTAAGTAATAAGACTTGAATTTTAAAATCTATGTTTCATGTTATCATCATGGCAACATCTTGAATCTCTCATTTATTTTTTATAATTTTATCTGTGCACTTCTTCCATCATGGATACTAACAGCTCTCACTCTTAGTGACTAATTATCTGAATAATTATATTTATATCCTATTAATAAATCCATATTGTGTGATGTGTTCTCTGTCCTCTCCTTCCCACATTTTCTAAACTTAAGCCAATACACTATAGAACCTTACTAGAATTAGACAAGGTAATTGAGCCCTTACTGACAAGACCTACCTATATTATTATGGAGAACCCAAAATGGATTCCCAAATCCAAATTAACAATTCTGTTAAAGATTTTGGTTTTTAAAAAATGTTTCTGGATGGTTGGTTAGTGACATCTAACAACCAAAGAGACATTTGTTTAACTTGTGAATTCCTGGAAAAAATAATGTTAAACCAAAAGCAAAACAACAAACCACTAGAACATTTCAGTTCTTCTTTTAAGGATTTCATATGTTAAATCCAGAACCAATGAATGATGCATTCTATGCTGGACCTCTGATTCATTTTTATATTTCACTGCATTGTCAAAAACTGCATGCTTCTTCCTAAATGTCTATATTCAAAGGGTCCAAGAAGAAAAGAGTGCATTTAATATACTCTGGTATATGTGTCAATGAAAACATAAAATATAGTAAATGCAAACTATTATTTAGAAGCCCTGTTTGTGTGTTATATGATCAGATTTGTTTATAATCAGAGTAGGTTCATTATACTTTAGAATTTTTTTTCTTTATGTTTATTTATATTTGGTTTATTATATATTGGTAAAACAACGTGTGTTTCCAAAATCTCAAACTACTTTGACTAATTTGAATATTTCCAATGCCGTTGGCTATTGGACAAATTAGAGCACAAACAAACTTCTAAATAAATCATCATGGATGTATGATGAATGGAATATTTTGTAATCTTACACTAAATTAATCATACCCTTCTGGTTCATTACATGTACATTCAATTTAGCACCATTCTACCTTTAATTTACATGAAATTTAAAAAGGAACCATGGACCTATGCTATCGACTTTGAAATGGACTAGAGTATAATGCCCTACTTATAGTGTGTATAGTGTAGTATGAATGCTGCATTGTGTGGAGAAATTGTGACACTTTCATATGATATTGGTACTGTTTTATTACATGGATTTAAAACTAATTTTATGATGGTTGTTTTAAATGCATTACCCAGAGTGAAAGAAAAAAAATTGAGAGTAGAAAAATGATAAAGTGAAAGTATTGCTACAGTGCTCCTCTTTCTCCCAGAAAATGGAGATTCCTTCTCCCACAGGATCTCTCCTGCCAAGCCCCCTGGGAAAGGGGCCAGCGTGGGATTACTCTCCAACCTGCCAGACTGTCTGGCGATTGCTGCACACCATGGGCCAGGTGTGATCAGCAGATCCAAGATATGCCCGTCCCCCAGAATGACCCACAGCTGGCATGGGGTTGTATAAGTGGCCTCCAGCAGGAAAGGAGCATGTGTACTCCATTGCCAGTTGCAGCACAATCCACCACTCTTCCCTCTCTAAGTGGCAGACAGGTAGGCCTAGGTGTTTGGGGTAGGAGAATCCCCCCTTGTACAGGCAACCTTGGAACAATGGTTTATGGGGTATGTTCTGCATGATTTGGGGGAAGAAATGTTGATCACACAGGAACCTTCAAATTGCCAGTGTTTGATCCCAATTTAATTTTTTGTTTATTGACATTGGCAATGGGGTGGGGAGGACTGAGTCAGAGGGGAGGGAACATCACTGTGAGGTGCCTATTGGTGGGATATCTGGCATGGTTTTGATTTTTGAGCTGGGTGTTTCATTTTTATTTGTGTTTTTTTTTTATTTTGAAAGATTTTTTTCTTTAAAGTATGAGAATACCAATAGTCGGGCAGAATGTCGACAACACGATTGATACAATCTAAATTGTCCCCTCCACACATATGCACGTTTTTTATAATGTCAATTCTAGAAGAGATTAAATAGCCAAAATTTGATTCTTAAAATAGTATGAGATTTAAATTGAGATTTGCTGAAAGTGGACTTTGAGCACAAAGGTAGACATGTTGAAAAGCATCAATTTCCTTTAATTTGAAGACCACAGATAAATGAATTCCTGTAAGAGAAGATTGGGCTGGGAGTTGTAGCAAATAGGGTTTCCTTATCGCAGTGGATTAGGTTTTTTAGGAGACTACTGGGGTCGGGGGAGGAATCATGTCTTAATGGAACATGAAAGAACACTACATTTTTCATAAACTTTCCTACCCACATGTAATGGACTATATTCTTATTCGGTGTCTTATATTCTTTCTACAATATAAGGCAAGATGAGAATGCATTTTCCTAACTGAACCTGGTATAAGTTTCCTTTTTTGGTAAACCATTCCAATTAATTCCTAGAGTAAGATAATTAACAATCAATGATCAAAGCACTAAGTATTATTTCTCTTACTGGAATTTATAATCAAATCAAATTAGAATTTGATCATGATATGAAATATAATATATTATATGAATATAATATATTATAATAAATGAAAAACATAGTTTCGTATGA